TGGAAAAACCTGACTAAACAAGAGCTGTATATCAAAGTGATTTCAATAGATGAGTTTTCAGTCTACAAACATCTGATTGCTCACTGACTCGATACGGAAATTATTTGATTACTTAATGACTAGTCTCGAACAACCTGATTGACTAGAAGGTCGATATCAAAACCTAATCATTGGATTAAAGAAAAGCACAAAAAATCCTTACCAGATGAAGTTTGAACCTTGAAAATCTGATTCGTTAAAAACCCAGTGTGGAAAAATCTGATTGTCCGAAAGTCTTTTCTGAACAATTCCATTATCTCGAAAGCCGATATCCAAAACTTATGATTAGCGTAAATACCGACCTAAAATGCTTATCTTAATCTTTAAATATGTGATCTTTGAGCTCTGACACAAGGACAAGACCACAAAGTTATTCAATTTATATAACCCTCCCTTCATTCGAATGAGCAGCGTTTTACAAATATTGGAAAACGTCAGCAAACGTTCACATCCTATGATTAAAATCAGTTTTTCTATGTAAAGAAGTAATACTGATGTTTATACCTCGTTTCTTGCCCTTTTTTTTATATGAGGACACGCTACTTTCAATAGTGTATATAATCCATTTGTTCAAATGAATCAACCATAACAATGCTAAAGTTTCACTCAGACATGCAATGTCGAGTGCAGCTTTCCCTCGATCGAAATTGTCGCTGCACTACTGGATTTTTATGACAAGCATTGCTAATAGCTTCGAATTGCATTATTTCTTCTTGAACTTGTCTATGAATTCAGTCATGTCTACCGCACAGCAGACAACTAAGAACAAGTTTTTCTTCTTCCTTGGAATTTAGAGAACATTCTTTATGCAATGTCATATAAACCACATCCTTCAAAGTTTTCACTGTGTTTTTACCGATCAGCCGTGATTGATTGATAGCTTATATGAACATTCAGCTTGAATTTCTATCTATTTGATCGATATCAGAGTCAACATGACTTGTTTAAGCTCAACATTTCATAATTTTCAACTATCGAAATACTATTTCAGATCGCATTTTGAGGTGAAAACATGTTAAAACAATGTTATGAATCTATTCATTGTGTGAGAAACAACCGCTCTTTTGTCGCTTGCAACATGATGTAAATACTCAACAATTGACCAAATTCTTTCGATCTAAAACAACTTCTTGAAAAAGTTAGACTTCCATTGATACTTTCTATTCCTACCTAAACAAAACATGAAAAGTTTGCTTTTCTAACCATTCCTACGAAATGAGATTCAGTTCAATGATCATAGTCTTCACTTTTCTACTCTATTTCAGCGCCACACAGCGGCAATTTGACGGACATTAGTCCTAATACTACATGGAACAATGACCAGACGGTAAGTAGACAAAGTTCGACACCCTCTGAATTTCGAGGTCTATTTGTGAATAATAACTAAATTCTCTATGTTTATAATTCTTTGAATAGCCGTATTGTGGCATGGGATAGATCAACAAAAGTGAGCTCGAAAGTGCGTAAATTCAAAACTTTCAGTTTATATTTCTAACTCATTTTCTGTGGGACTCATGTCAGACTTCGAAGAAAATCGCCAGTGTCAGTTTTTATTTGAAGCTTTCCGACTCCCCTTTCCTCCCCATTTACAGATCCTGGTAACCAGAAGTCAAGGATCACTGGTTATGAATCCTCCGGTAGCAACCGAGAGGAAGAAGAACGTAAAGATCAAAACATTTCATAAAGAATATGAAAGAGGGAATAGGAGAGACGGATCAGTACGTTTCTCCTAGGAAAAAGAACGGAGCTGTATCAAAATTAATTTATAAGAGTTCTTCAGGAATAAGGGAGGGAAGGAATTAAAGTTCATTGAGTGCGGTTTTTACAAACACACGCGAGCTGTTCATTTTTAGCCCCGAAGAAGATGATTTGACAAGCATTTTTGCGCATAATAATAGGTCCTCTCGTTGATTCCTGTCTTTTCACTGGAGGCGTTATGTAACAATAAAGTAGTTAATTAAGTAGATCTCTCTTAAAGTAGTGCTCAACTAATCAGCAATAACCAAAGTTGGTATTCAGCTAATTAAGATCTACTAAGATGAGCACCTATGTGATTAGCATTAGAAGAAGAAGAAGAACACCCCTGCCTTGCGGCTACCTTTCAGTATGGGGTGCTGTCCAAGGACAGTTCCAGAGGCCCGATATTTTTCCTGCACCTATTACTAGCTGCAGCTCTGGACAGAAGGCCGGCCGGACTCACAGTTCTTCTCGCTTAATTGCTTAAGCTTCCAGTACATGCTGACTAACCACATACGAGCCATAGAGGCTTTTTTATGTACAGTAGAGTGCAAAAATAATTGCTGATAGACTTTCCAAGATTCTTCTAATAGAAGTATAAGATATGAGGACTTTTTAATGTTATTATATTACACAGATACTGTACTCTATAAATACATTAATCATTAAAAGTTTCTCACTCTCTATGAGTTCATAAGGGACAATAATCTTACATTCTTGGAAGTAGTTAAAAAATTTATAACTTACACATGAGTTTTACTCTACTTTTCACGTTAGAATTCTTTAGGTTTATCGATATCTCGAAGTTTTTCATTCATATTAATTGATTGAAAGGTCTAGTGGAATAATTTAACTAAACCGAGAGTTGCGCTATTAAGTGGCCAAGCAGTAGTTTCAGCTATATAGGGCTGACGAACCACATTGTTGACCTCACTGTAATATAGTGCTACACTCTTTGATCTTGAAAATTTTATTATAACTAGTGTGAGTGAGGGTCATCGTTATAGAATGGTTTCAAACTTCTACCGAATGATCAGTACTTCAATAATGTAATATGATCTATTGGTCAGTTCGCATACAACTGGTGCTTGGATTATGAGTCATTTTTACGAAGCTATATAAAAGTTTTCGAGCAATATCAGGTTCATTTAATGGATAAAGGTAGTATCTAACGTTTGCAAATAACTTGGGAATGATCGTTCGAAGAACGTATGAAATAGCTTAAAATAAAGTTTATGCACTGAACGGCAATTTTTTTTGCACCCTACTGTATGTCAACAACGCAGTCAGCTTGCTATCGGATGGGTGGTTCGAGACAAAACAGCCGTTAGTGACTTGTCCAAGGTCATTCTATGTATGATGGAGCGGAGGTTCGAACACACTATCTTGTGGATATGAATCGAACATCTTTACCATTCAGCCATAGCGGCTGATTAGCATTAATGGGGCTGTGTACTCATCTGATGAACTCTATCAATGGTAGTTCGCGTCAGGTTTTAGGTTCTATTTGAGCAGACTTTCTCTAACTTTCCAGGGCTGGCTTAAATATGGTATGTGGAGTTTTTTGAGATCCATCTAAGAATGATAAAACCTACCTAAGAACGATATTTTGAACTTTTTGAGGTTCATTTGGAGTAGTATTAAGAACTTTCTGAGGCCCACTTAGGAACGATATTTAGAACGTTTCAAAGTCTACCTAAGAGTAATATCTGAAACTTTTAAAGATCTACCTGAGGATGGTATTTAGAAATTTTGGAGCGGACTTATTGATGATATATTGAACATTTTTTGGCCTATTCCTGGATGATATTTAGAGGTAAAATAGTGGACTTCAATGTGCATAAACTCGAAATCCAGAGGTTACTTTTCTTCTGTCGTTATTTTACCAGTTAATTTAAGTCAATGTTCTGTAGTTCATATCAAAAAGTAAGCACTCCACTAATTCCAATCTTTAGATCGGAAAAGTGACTTAATACTGGACTATTTAGCTAATTAGTACTCGAGTAATCACCATTATTAAAATGAATTTCCAAATGATTAAGATTAGTTCAGAAGCGTGCTCAGATACTTAAGACTAATTAAGCTGAGCACTGTTCTAATTAAGACTGATAGGAGAACATACTAAATTGATCAAGCCGTCTAGACTTCATCTTTTACTAATGAGTAGACCTCGATGAAATATGAAAAATTTGAAAAGGATGCGTGTCCTCACTTCTTTATGCCTGAGATATCGGATTTTTAAGTAGTTCATCCAACACCACTCAAGATTTTCAGCAAAATCGTCTTGTTTAGTTTTGGTCTGAACCTTTATTTATATCGAGGCCTTGCGCAGGATAGATTGTGTAGAAAATTTCAGAATTCTTGAACGTAATCTGTACCAGCTATCAATATTTCAAAATATTCATGCTTTCTACAATACCTGTAAAACAATATTCATCGATATAGCCAAACGTTCAGATCAAAACTCGACAAGACGCCTTTGGTGGAAATCTTGAGTGATGTGGAATGAACTATTTAAAAATTCGATACATCAGGAATAAAGACGCGAGGGTACGAATCCTTTTCAGGCTTTTTTTCATACTTCATGGAGATCTGCTTATCACCAAAAGATGGAGCCTAAGCGGCTTGATTCCCTGGATGTGTTCCCTTGTTAGACATAAGCTCTATGTAATATTTGTATAAATGACAGCCATTTCGTTACTGTAGTCTCTTTAATCATATGAATTACTAGATATGTATACAGATGCCGATCAATGTTCATCGACAGACCAATCATAAAATATCTAACTATGTAAAAAAAAGTTATTTAGTTCAAATATTGAACTCTTACATTTATACGCACCTAGAGGGTATTTCGAAACCTGAAGATTTCTTGAAATCTTTTAAAGATTCTCCGGGCATTTGTTATATATTTGATATTTCTTTTCTCTTAGAAAAGTACAGCAGAAAACAACAAGAGCAATCTTGATAAGGCAGATGGTCACTCTGAAATAAGGTTTGTACTTTTATCACCATACGATAAACTTCGTTTAGTTGGACGATATTGGCCTGTTCACGAAGTGAATAAACCGAATGCTGTTGTTTTATTTGTGCATGGCTCAGGCGAACACTGTCAACGATACAGGCATGTTGCTCACTTTTTCAATAAACACCAAATTCCTTGTGTCGCTTATGATTTACGTGGGAATGGATTATCAGAAGGTCAAAGGGGCTTTATACCTTGCATGGATGCTTGGTTAGATGATCTTGAGTGTGCCATAAAATATATTCGTGAGAATCTTAATTTCACTATGCCATTAGTAATTTATGCACATGGCACTGGTTGCATCAATTGTCTTGCTTATATACTTCAGCGACAGAAGTCAAGACTTGATTGTCAAGCAATGATATTAAGTACGCCTTCAATATGTCTCAAAGAGCGTCCCACATCCCTCGCATATTTTGGCTCGCGGGTTGTTTCGAGTTTGATTCCTGGTCTTCGTCTCCCTCTCAAAGGAAACTACACGAATGAGTATACTGATGATAAAGAAATAGTTGCAGCATATCGAACCGATCCACTTGTTCATGATGAATGGCTTGCACAAACTGTCTGCTTATTCCTGAAATTAGGTCACTTATTAGAAACAACTGAGATTCAATTTCCAGTACCAGTGATGATTCAACACGGTGCTGATGACAATATTACACCAATAAAACTGATTCAAAAATGGGTACAAGAGCGAGTAAAGGGTAATGACGTAACGTTCAAAGACTGGCCAGGACACAATCATGAAATACATAATGATATGCGTAGGGAGAATGTTTTCAATCATGCTTTGGAATGGATCGAAAAGCGTTTCAAAATTGAACAGAATTAAAAACAAGACTTTTCCTTTGCTTTTTTAAAAATTTATTGTTCATTTATTAGTTTCTAATCGTAAGAACTTTATATGTGCTATGGGAGTAATAAATGTAGCAGAGTATATTGCAAACAATCGCAATGGTTTATTTATTTTTCTAAATAGAAGTGCTTTTATGGATTCTGGTAAAATTTAATGTAAGACAATTTGTCGCGGATAATTCGTTGCAAGACAATTCGTTGCGGGACAATTCGTCGCAATGATATAAAATAAGTATAATTTATTATTATTTTTTCATAAACGAACTGTCCTATTAAGATAAGTGGGAAACACATAGTTCAATGAATATGACAATTGTAGAGACTATTTTTAATCACTAAAATTTGACTGTTTATTTCGGTTTGTATTGTTATAAGAAATTCGGGTTTGACAAAAAAATCGGATCTATTTTTGCATCAGGACTAACACTGAAGAGATGAAAAAAACCTGAAACGTGAGAAGTCATCAAAACTTGTGTTAGCACCGTATAAATTATCTGTGAATTCAAACTAGTTTAATTTTAAACAGGTGAAATAAGAACTGATAGGTTTTTCACTAACATAATTTGAACATTAAATAAGGAGAGTTAATAAAAAGATCTAATCAAAACCTTTTTTGATTATACTAAAGCCAATATTTGTTAGTGAACACTAAGTTTCACTTATTTTCTCAAATTATTGTTCCATGTGTCGTAAATCCTGAGCTACAATAGGAATTGAAAGAAGATGTAACACCACCTCCGCTTCTATAAGGAAAATTTTACTATTGACATACTTCAAAGAACCTAACTTTTTATGCGTACCAGAAGATTATTGTACTACTTGGACTCAAAAATCAAAGTTTAGTGATTAAAAATAGTCTCTACAATTGTCATACTCATTGAATTATGTCTTCTAACTCATCTTAATAGGTCAATTCATTTACAAAAAAAACGTCGTAAATTATAATTGGATTATATCATTGCGACAAATTGTCCCGCGACGAATTGTCCGGTCACTCTTTTATGGACACAACGCTATTTTAAGTCTCACTGGTACAAATCCTCTTTAATATATTTTTGCACTAATTATTCGAAGAAAATGAATCAACTCTTTTGCAAAAACACAATCTAAAGGCTGTGGGTGTAGGTGTGGGTGTGGGTGTGGGTATGGGTGTGAGTGTGGGCTCAGAGAATACTTACACCTACACCCGAACCTAAACCCACATCCACACCCACCCACACCCACACTCAAAGTACAAATCTTTTTTGAGAGTGTTCTTCTTTGTTGATATGTTACTATTTTTTAGATATGTGATTAAAACAAGTTGTTTATGGTTTGAAAGAGAGAAAAGCTTTATCTTTTGATTAAGAAATTGTCCTTTTGGCAGCTTTTTATCAAAGATAAATATAAGCCGACATTTGTCCTATTACTTTTGCATCGCATGTTTTTTTTTGTTCTCTGAACTATATGTTTTATTTATAATTTATACGTTATGCCATACAATAAAGTCTTTACTTTGGCATTATATACCGATTATCAAAAAAAGCAAACTGCAGTAGTCTAAGCAAAAAAGAAACAAAGAAGGAAAATTTAATTGACACGCACTATTGTTCATTGAGATGGGGTTCGCTGTCAAATTTTATACAAAATGAAATTAAATTTCCAAAGATAACATTACTAACCGATATTTCGGCTATTACTGTTAAATAAAATTCCGGTGACTTTAACTGTTTGGTTATTACACTTTGTAAAGGCTTAATTGTATATAAATAACCGATGATACCAATAAATATACCAATATATGCAAATAAATACATATAATAATTAGTTTTATAAGTTTTAATTGCAGCAGTCATTGGTAATTCTAAGAATATTGGAACAAAGATAAACGAGGCAATTAATACACCTAAAGTTGTTGGTAAACTGCTAGAAATATCTTGATATCTTAATATTTGATAGATTAATGACAAAGGTAATGCAATAAGTATTGGTGAAATAAATGCCGATAAATGTATCAACCGTAATAACTGTCGTGATTTTTCCTCATAGGCAATTTTTTCTGATCGTTTTGGATTCTTATGATTTTCATAATCATCATTATCATCGCCGGTACTTTTATTTACCTTCATCCTTACGGACAGACGCCGTTTTTCATAATAATTCGTTAAATCATTCAATGATAACGTAGCGACACGAATTGCTGTTGGTGATATTGACAATAAGACAGGAAATAAATTTAATAACAGATAAACTTGAGCGGCTGTACCAATTGCACCACCAAACATTTGTTGTATTAATTCATCAAATTTTGGTGCACCACATTTTTGACAAACTGTATTTAAATTGGCAGCTTCAACATAATTGGGTACCGATGGTAATATTACAGCAATAAATATAAAAATCAATGCAAAAAATGATATTATCTGACTACCGAAAAGCCATTTCCGTGCTTTTGATTCCCATTTATATGAAACCAAATCAAAAATTAGTATAAGACATAAAAGCGAGGTACCAATCAAATAAAAGATTTCTGCATAATGTAAAAAGTCATCTAATTTTTTAAAAGATGCTTCAAATAAGGAACCACCTTCAGCATCTGGTGGCCAATCTTTAACATAACCAGCATCGGCTAATGCTTGTATAATTTTTGTTTGTGTTGGTATTAAATTATGTATATGTTTTAATAATGTTAATGGTATGCTTGAAAAAACTCCGAGCCATATACTTAATCGAGTCAGCGACATCCGATGACCATACGTCTCAGGGTGCTTATACTCCTTGGTTTGCATAAAGAAATCTACAAATACAATGTTAGATATATTCGCTCTACAGCTCTGTTTACTAGGAAAAGTTTAATATACAGGATGTACCCGATTTGAACGGCTAGCTCAGGCACAACTGCTGTATGTTTCGTGAGGAACTGGTAGAAAATATATTAAAAAGAACGATTAAGACCCACCCATTGACCAACAAACTATACTAATTATGAAAGTTTACACTTGAAGCTACCCAATCGTATGTTTACCTTAAGGAACTTCCTCTTCCAATTCAAAAACTTCCTCTATATAGATTTTGTACCTTTGTCTTGAAAAGAAATTCAATTGTCCTCTATTAAATCCTATATAAATCAGAATTATTCATTGTCATCTAGAGTTCCCAAAAATCGAAGTCTAAAGACTGCCTATTTACAGCAATGACCTTTCAACGTTTTAGAATTGATTAAAAATACTTTTTCATAGTCCTGAAGTGTTGCAAACGTGAGGAATAGATACGCAGGGTTTATGTGTAAAGCTGTTAGTAAACAACTTGTAATCAATCCAACGAAACAAAGGTGAAACTACGAGATATCATAAAGCAAAGGTTTTTTGCACGCAGCATCCACTCAAAGCTACTTTTTTGGGTAGCAGAATTAGTAAGTCGTTTCCTTTACTATAGGATTTTTTCGAAAGGTTCTCAAGAACATCTTTGAGATTTTAAGTGGAGGAATAAAGAGAATTTCAATTTTCCATACGAATTCATTTGTTCAAGGTGTGGATGTAAAGAAAGAGACACTCCCACTCACGTCCTTTTCGTTGACTCGGTATTCAATTTTTTCATCGGTAATGCATACAATTGAAAAATGAAAGTCGTCAGTTCGAGCTAAAATACATACCAGCCGTTACATATTTAGATGTCGAATCAGAATATATACTAGATTATCCGATTTAACATTGAAGAAGCTGTGAAAGTCTCTCAAAAATAGTTCTTTTGCTGTACTCAAAGCTTTCAGCGCTTGATGCCCGATCTAAAAAAGCAAGGTCAAAAAATGGTCTGATTATGGATAATTATTGATAAAATATCTGAACTAATGAATCTTTATGGAAAATCAGCATTTTATTTACTCTTTCATCCAAAAATTCACAGATTTTCTCGAAAATCTTTCGAAAGAATTCTAAAAATTCAATCGAAATTTTGTTTTCTGTCTGAACTGTATGTACCCTATGTGTGTCTGTGCAATGCATAAAATCGTAGATCGATAGATATTTGTATTCTAAAGTTATTCAAATTCTTCCAATGCGCGCTGTTTTTTTGAAACGAATAGTGGCCATTGTAGGATCTATGACAACTGTATGTAAGACGATCATGTGTAAGACAATTATGAGAACAACGATCATGTGTAAGACAATTATGAGAACAACGATCATGTGTAAGACAATTATGAGAACAACGATCATGTGTAAGACAATTATAAGAACAACGATCATGTACATATCAGTTATACGCAAATCTGGATATTTAGAAAAAATGAATTAATCATTGTACTACTAGATACTGTCTATACATGATAAAGTTATGACTTCATGATTTTTGTAAACGTATTGAATAGAAGCAATGGTTGATTCAAGTTCCACTACTCATATACAAAATAAAAACAGTATATCAACGGAATCGCTGTCGAAATCACGAAAAAATTTCAAAAACACGAGCCTAATAAATGACAAATCTTAAAAGTGACAATCTCAAAGAAGCAAAATGTCGAAATGTTGTTTTTCAAAAATAATGACATCTCGAACAATAGCTAGTAATGACTTCTGAAAGCATTGCTTATTTCTGAGTCTTCTATAAATTCATTTGCATTGAACTAAAATTCTTGTCTAAGGCCTTTATTTGTAGTGGCACCCTATCCACGACGTTTTGAGTTAGCAAAGTCGCACTTTTCAGAAATATTGCCAGTGGTGTTGTTGCAAAGCAAAATAAATTTTCTCGAGATTCTTCAATTTGAGATTGCGACGCATTAGCTCTAAATGATCATTTTTCCTTGAATGTATCCAAAAGGCGTGAGAACAAGAAGTTGTCACTCTGTTAGTTATACAGGAAACTTAATAACAATTGCTCATACATTTATATCTTAATTATTCATTGATGTTTTTACCTTGATTTATTTGTATTATTTTTGTGTACTTCTATCTGTGATGATTGGGATTCATTTTTTGAGAAGATATTTATGTGTGCATGAGGGACTGTACACACAGCTGTCTGGCACACAATTTTCTTACATACAATTGTCGAGCTCCCATTCTTCTTATTGTTACAAAAAATACACAAAACGCTTACCTTTTATTCGAAGACACTGACGATAAATAAGCGTCTTTTGAATAAAATTACGTATATTCTCACCATATTTTGGCCAACAATACTGTAGCGGTAAAAACCATATTAGTAAGTAGGGTAAACCAAACAGTATGCACAGAAGAAATAATGGTAGATATTTTTCAATAAAATTTCCCACTCTTATCAAGAATCTTTCGTATTTATTTGGATCGATCCTATTGGCTATTATTATTTCATCTACTTCGATTGATGCTGAATCCAAAGCATTTAGTGTTGCTTGTAGTGTAATAATTGTAATAAATATTGTTAAAAGTGTTGGATATGGCCACTCAATTGCTAATAGATTTTCGTGTGTGAATAATAATGAAATGGTTCCAATTATGAATAAAATAATATAAAAAAATAATGCTGTGTATAGTCTACGCCGAAAATATCTACTGTTTATTGTTGTCGGTATAATAAAGAACATTATAAAAAATGGTACAATTTTTGAAATACTCCATATAATAAGCCAACTCAACTTATGCCGTTTTATTTGATAGATTAATATAGCAGGTAATAAGCAGCCAATTAAATTTATTAATTCTACTATATAAATAACTAATCTCATACAGCTTATATATGTATTTATATACAAATTTGTACTACTATCAGTTCCATCTGAAGATAAAATTATTGCCGGTTGATTGTTATTTAAAATGATATACTTTTCTAAATGCTTTCTTATTAATAATAAATACAAAATATATCCAATAATAATACCAGTTCGTATACTTTGAATATAATATAGTTCAATTGATTCTAATAATAAATATACATACTGTGTAAATATTCCGCCAACAACAGTACTTAGCATCTTACGAGTGTCAGGATCTCTTTGTATAAATGTATCTGTCGATGGGCGAATATTCATACATTGAAAAAAATCATACACAAATGTTGGAATTAATAATAAACATAATTGTGATAGTAATATTAATGATAATATATAACTAAGAAGTTTTTGAAATCTCTTCTTTTTGTTATTATTAATAAAAACCTGTGTGAATGTTAATAACATCAATATAGTGCAGATGATGGTAACGTTTTTTCCATTTGATTGCCAGTTATAAAAATCTTTTATAGCTTTAGTATTATCAAGATATTTATCTGTTAAACCGTATCTTTCCTCATCAATAGTTGAATCTAATACAGTATTAAAGGGTGATGATTTTGTCCAACTGCTAGCCAAATAACATACCAAACAAATATTTACTATGGTACAACAGAAAAAAGATAAAATTGTAAATTGAAATATCCTGTTTTGTTGGTTTTCGAAATGTTTCAATAAACCATAATTTAACTGTTTGAAATATTCGAATAAACCATTGTGGTGTGTTTTTAATAAAATCAATCATAAAACAACAGTTTATTCTCGGTAGTAAAGGCAGAATTTCATCTTGATTCTTTGGTAGTAAAGGTATACATTCGCTATTTATTACTAGTGGTTGTGTCTTTGCTTTTTTCTTATATACGAAAACAATTATTGATATTATCATAATACAAAAACAAGTTATTGCTGTTACAACTATTCCTATCGTAACAGTATGATTACTAGAATTGTTTCGCTCACAGCTTGCATTTAAACAGCATTTCGAATCCCAAATATCTTCAATTGATAATAATGAGCTACTTGTCATTGGTATTGTTAAATTATTAAATAAACAAAAGTTTAAACAAACTAAATCTATATCATAATTACATCTGGTACAGTTATCCACACAGAATGCGCTAACTTTGTAACAGTTTTTATATAATGTCGTTTCTATTGTAGATACTGAGCATGTTATTGAGGATGATAAATTGGAATTGCATGTAGAACAATGTATATTTTCTTCTGTTATCAAATTGGATCCTAAATTTATTATTTTAGAAAGATAATTTGGTGCATTATTTGTTGTATTCCATTGACACTGTTCAGCATTTGTATATGTTAATAAAAAAGTTGTTTTAGCCTTAACTAACTGAAAATCTAATTGAGGAATAATTGTCGTAGTGGGTTTTGTCTTAATTGTACATGTTTTTATTGTTGTTTCCTCCCAAAGAGCTATTTTGAATGAGAATAATGTTTGATTAAAGCGATAAAAATATTTTCCTAATAAACATTTTTCTGTTGGATTATTTTCTTTGCAAAAACTTTGTTGGTATTGACATCGTTGACATTGTGGATCCGAACACATAAAACTTAATGCTAATATAGAACCTGTTGTGGAATCTTGTAATAAACTATAATACTGTAAATTTGAATCGAAAAATTCCGATGTATTTATACATTGAGCAATAACTGTACATGTATCATTCCATGTTGTAGAATTTATATATGTTGTTGTAGGCAATGCGTATGATGACATTTCAAATCCTTCCTGTGCAATGCTACAATTAGTATTTTGAATTGTATCATCATATTCTGATTCAAAAATTGATAGATAGATACCCCCTAATGATGCTATATCAGATGGGTGTGGCCTAATTGATTCGACGTTAGTAGTACACGTTGTTGTTGTACGAGTATTGCTAATATGAGAAACGAGTTTATGTTCATGTATAGTTGAGTTCATTTCATAACTTGCAATGTCAATATATCCATACCCTATATTTTTTCCTTGTTTATTGACTTGTGGATATAGATGAGAAGTTGGATTAGGAAAATATGGTATGGTATCATTAGGTAACAATAATGGATTTTTAATAAACATTGAATTTATTATCGGTAGTGACCGCAAAATCATATGTTTTAATAACGCTCCTTCAGCTGAAGGCGGTATTGGTAATGGTGCTGCTTTTATTGTAATGTTTAGCTTTTCGCTGTTGATGTATGTACCATTTAAATAAACACCAGGGCGATTATTAACTAATGTCATTAACATCACAATATTCATATCAATATTAGTAATTGTTCCACTTAAAAATGGCACTGCATATTTTTGAATATCATCTTCTGATACATTACACATGGTACTATTATTATCAAATGCTGAGTTACTACAATTAAATCGATTGAATTGACAGGTAACATTAGTTGAAACATAATCAACATGTAAAAGAGCCTCATCTTGTCTGAATATTGATATTTTAAATATGTACCAATATATTTGTTCATCAAAAAATACATCTTCAATTATATCATTTACATTACTTTCAAATGTACCAAGTGATTCGAACGCCGATGATATTGCATTCATTACATTCGAACCTACTCTTAGACTTGCTAACGGTAGCGGTAATCCAGGACTTGGCCACTCAAATGGTGGATATAATACACTTCGTTCTTGATCATAATCTTGATAAATGAGCCATTTTTGGGTAACAGGATTCAGTACATAAACAACAATTGAAATATAGGCTCGCATATCTTGGTTGGTACGTAATACTGCTGAAGCTAGTGTATAGCGAATAGCAATACCATAATATGGGGGATAGATACCACCAGCTGATATGGATTGCATATGATCATTGATTTCTTGTGTCATAAACTCTTCTGCTTTTTTGTAAATTTTGCTATCAAGGTCGGTTATTTCGGCGATAACATCACAGAAGAAATCACAATCACAACCACCTTTGTTGGGTTTGTTTAAAAATTTAATTTGAACGACTGGCTTGAATACTACCCCAAGATCTGTATTTTCCACTGCGATTCGTATTTGTATATGTAAATTAGCATCTACCCATAACTTGCTACCACGTGAGCAAAGTGTATTAGTTACACATAGAGGTGGTATAGGAACCAAACAAATGTATAGACGAAAATAAACTTCGCTAACAACAGTCATATGAGCTATTGCATCAATTTGAATATAATTGTCATCAGCTATTGTTAATATTGGATCATTTACAAGTTCTAAAGTTTTTTTTGCACTTGATAAACCTGCATACCAATCCCTTGAGAGAGGCCAAGAGTCACAGCAATCAGATCGCTCGCTCTTATCATGTATTTGATTTAATTGATCTCGAATATATTGCACTCCAACGTCAATAAACTTATGAAAAATTGACGGAGCTAATTGTAATGCACGCTGAGTAAATATTATAGTAGACCCATGAAGATGCGCTGTAGGTGGTATGGGTAGCAGCGGCGGATCGGGTGGTAATGGATATTTTCCAAAGACGAACGGAATAGATAACAGAAATAGTATAATGAATTCAATAGACAATATCATAATTAACAGTATTTTAATTATTTATCATACCACGATTGCAATTTAATATCTAACACAACTTAGAAGTAAAATCACATTATATGTACGCACAATTAGCTGCGAAAATAAGAGCTCTTGCAGAAACAAAAAAATATTGAAAAATAACTATCAAAAGCATTACTAATTCCATCCTACCATTCTCACTCTCATCTACTATTCATGTAAAAATCTTTCAGCGTAATCTCTGCGGGATGAAAATGGGATACACGATGAAGCCATTTTAATCGTAAACTATACTGTAAAAAACAAGGGTAGAATAATAAATCCTTTCCAATACTCTTTGCAAGGGTTTATGAAGGGTATTTGAAGCTCAAAAATCCCTAAAGAGTTTATTATATGTTTCACATTCATAAATCCTTATAAGGGTTCATGAGAACCATATACTCTTTCCGAAATTCTTAAAAAGTGTTTAGGAGATCACTTCTGGAAACTAAAAGGATTTATGAGATCTATCGTATACCCTAAAAAAGATTTATGAGATCTTTCCTAAACTCTAAAAGAGTTCATAAGACATATTTAATAACCTAAAATGATTTATTAGAATGAATGGAAGTATAGGATAATTATTATTATCTCGTATATGTTGGAAAAAAAATATTCTGCGTTACGATGGTTAAAAAGAGGATCTATTTCTATGGCTCAACTTAACAAAAANCATGAGTTTTCATGAGAAGTTCACATCAAATTATACCAAAATGTAGCGCAAATCATCATGTATTTGTCCTAAAATTTTCACATTTTAACATCAAGATACAGTAATAAAAATTCAAAAATGAAATGCAAAGATATGACAATTTTAGGACAAATACATGATGATTTGCGCTACATTTTGGTATAATTTGATGTGAACTTCTCATGAAAACTCATGAAAATAGATAATCAATAAGATTTTTGACTGTAAACAACTATATATAAGACTTGTGAACCTAATGAATTTTATATGGATCGACGTCCCCTGACTTGCTCTTTCTGACGGCAAAAGCCCGACCTCTCTAACTTGAACCGTTGAGAAGTTATTCAAAAAACAGTCGTTGGTACTTTAAAAAAAATCCGGCATTAGTATCTGGTGCCTGATTTATCACAAACATCGAATTTAGATGAACGCTCAATAGCTCAAGAAAGATGCATTCGTTTTGGCTGAAATTATTAGAGTATTCTAATGATCACTAAACCTATCCCTAGGCAAAATTTCAAATCAATTATTTTAATTTGAGTTTCCAGTTCATACCCACTAAATAGGCCGAAAACTAAGTAAACTGGTCATAACTCTTGATCAATAGGCTATGGGTACAGTTCGTCCTAGGATTTTCTTAGTCTCACTGAAATATACTTACCCTCAAAAGATGAGTTCAGAAGCTCGGGATCAGTTGAGAACCTTTCCTCGTTAGTAGAAGCTCTAAATTATTCAAAAATATCTCACGCTTAATTGTTCAACATGCAATTTATGAGCATTTCGCATTTTCACACTAGATATTGTATTTGAACTTTTACTTACACGTGTGATTATGTATAAATTTCAAATCCTTTCAACTGAACACGCAAGTCTTTTATATCTCTCGTTGAAAAAACTCTTTCACAAATTCTAATAAAATCAATCCGAAGTGGGTCATCGATACCTCGTAAAGATCTCACCATTACCTAGGCTTTTTACTATTCTATAGATCTTTGCATGACATTTTACAGAAACTTAGCTGTAGTCATGTATTAATAAGAAATATAATCTCATTGTCAAATTTTCATATGCATTACATCGTTCAAGTCTGAAAGTGTCGCTAAATTCCGTTAGTTAAAGATTTCGCAGAGAAAATATGGGAATGGACGATTTAGAAATCTAGACTAAAATTTGATGGAATGAGGACTAGGTATCGAAGTTATTCAACGGCTAAGTTTTCTGTCTATAAAAATATGATCATCCTGTAGCTTGGTACCGAATTAATTTGATTGACTGAAGACCAATTTCGAAAAAAACTAGTCGGCTGGAAGGGCGATATGAAAAACAAATGATTGGATGAAAGCAAAGAACAAAAAGCCTTTCTGGATAGAGACTGAGTCTCAAAAAGTCTTACTGGCTAAAACTTTGATCTGAAGAAATTCAATTAGCTAGAAAGCTGATATCGAAAACTTATGATTAGCTGAAATTTCAGTGTGAAAACTTGATTTCAATTATTAAACCTGTGATTTCTGATCTTTGAAACGTCAACCAACCGACAAAATAATTTTAATCCATGCAAATACCCCTTCAATCGAAGGAATAACGTTTTTACAAATTAGGGAGCACGTTAACAAACGTTCAAATCCGATAGTTAGAATCGAGTTTCCTATATAAAGAGTAGCATTGATTTCTTTATCTCTTTTCTTTCCGTTCTTTGCATATGAAAACACGCTGTTTACAACAGCGCATAATCAATTTGTTTAAAGGTTTGATCATAATACTGGTAAAGTTTCACCAGATACGGAATGTCGAGTTCAGCTTCTTCTCAATCGAAACTATCGCTTCACTACTTGATTTTCATCAAAAATATTACTAAAGGATTCGAACTTCGTTACCTTTTATTGAATTTGTCTATCGATTCATTCATGTCTAGCAGAACGCAGACAACTAAGAACAAGTTTCTCTTCCTCATTGGGATTTAGAAAATATTCTTTGTGTAACGTCATGTAAACTACATCCTACGAAGGTTCCATTGCCTTTTTGCCGATTAGGCATGATTGATCGATGGATGACGCCAACGTTTGCATCATTGTTCTATCTTTTGATCGATATCAGAGAGCCAACATGACTTATTTAAAGCCAAGGTTTCATAATTTTCAGCCATCGAAATACTATTTCAGATCGTTTCTTCTGGTGATACATAGTAAAACTATGATACAAATCTGTTCTTTGCATAGAAAAAATTGTTCTTTTGTCGCTGACAAGATGATACGTATCCATAGAAACTGATCGAAATCTTTCGATCTAAAACTACTTCTTTAAAAAGTACACTTCTATAGATACTTTTCAATCTCACTTAAGAAAAAAAGGCATGAAGGCTTTGTCTTCTAACACTCCTACAAAACTAAAGACTCAGTTCAATGACCATAGCCTTCATTTTTTCACTTTATTTCAGTGCCGTGTGGTGCCAAGTCGACGAATATTGATCCGAGTGCTCCATGCAACAAGAATGGCCAGACGGTAGGTGAACAGAGACTAACACTCTTTAAGTCTTGAGGTCTATTTATAGATGCCTATAAAGCAACTTATGCCGCTGATTCTTTATATGATCGCATTGTAGCATGAAAGAGGTAAAAAAAAAGTGAGCTTGAAAGTATATAAACTCGAAACTTCGAGTTGATGTTTGGGGCTTACTTTTTGTGGAACTCTTAAGTTTTCTGAGAAAATCACGAGCATCGGTTTTAAGTTGAAGTTTTTCGACTCTCTTCCTCATTAAAGATCATGGTAATCAGAGACTAAGATCAAAAGTCAAATATCATTCGGTGCGAATGCTTCTGTACCAACCAACAGGAAGAGGAAATAAAGATGGGTATGTTTTTGTCCTAGTAAAAAGGAAAGGAGACAAGTGCAATATGGGAAGACAGGGGTTAAAAGTCATTAAGTCCATTTGTACAAGCATACGTAAGCTCCACATTTTTAGCTTCAAAGGAGCTGCGCTGACAAGCTTTTTTTCACCAAAATAAAGAAGTCCAATCAATGATTGCAGTGTTTTCACTGGAAGCATTATGTAACAATAAAATACTGAAGCAATTAGTGCTCCCTAAAGTATACTTATAATCATTAGCACTAATAAGAATGAGTGCCGCTTTATACTAGGATACTTTCTGTAACGTTTCGGGGCTCACTTAAGTATAATATTTGGATCTTTTTCAGACCTATCTAAGAATGATAGGGCTTACATAAGAACGATATTTTGAATTTTTTGAGGTTCTTCTAGGGGCGATATTGAGAGCCTTTTGGGATCCGCTCAAGGATGATATTTAGAAGTTTTGGAGTGAGCTTAATGGTGGTATATCGAAGTTTTTTTGGGCCTATTCCTACATGATAATCTAGAGCTTACTTTTCTCGTATCTTTATTTCAGCAGTTAGTTTCACTGGATGTTCTATAGTTCATATCAAAAGGTAGGCACTCCACTAATCCCAGCATTTACACTGGAAAAGTGGTTTAACACTTAACTATTTAGTTGATCAGCACTCCAGTAATTACCACTGATTAGGGTCAATTACCAAATAATTAAGATTAGTTCAGAAGCGTGCTCAAATAGTTAAGTCTAATTCAGTAAAGTGCTCAGCGAATTAAGACGCATGGGTAATATACCGAAGTGATCAAAGCGTTTAGACTCCATCTTTTGGTGATGAGTAGATCTCAATGAAGTATAAAAAAAACCTGAAAAGGATTCATGCCCTTGCGCTTTTATTCCTAAGATATCGTATTTTAAAGTAGTTCATTCCAAACTACTCAAGATTTTCAGCAAAACTGTCTTATTAAGTTTTGCTCTGTACCTTTGTCTACATCGAGACTTTAAGCAGACTAGATTGTGTAGAAAATTTCAGAATTCTTGAACATAATCTTTACCAGATATGAATCTTTTAAAGCATCAGCATTGTTTCACAGACATTGTAGAAAGCATAGATATTTTGAAAGATTGATGGCTGGCAAAGATTGCATTCAAGAATTCTAAAAATTCCTACACAATGTAGCCTGCTTAAGGCCTTGATGTAGACAAAGGTTCAGATCAAAACTCGGAGAGACGATTTTGCTGAAAACCTTGAGAGGTGTGTGATAAAGTACTTGAAAATCCGATATTTCAGGAGTAAAAGCGCGAGAGCACGAATCCTTTTCATGTTTTTCATACTTCATCAAAATCGACTTATCGCCAAAAGATGAATCCATAAAGGGATTGATCACCTAGGTATATTTCCTCGTTAGATATAAGTACTATTTGATGTTTGCATGAGCGATAGCTGTTTTGTGACTCTAACTTTTTTAAACGTATGAATTACTAAATATGTACACAGATGCTGCTCAATATGTCCATCTACCGACCAATCACACAATATTTGACTATTTGAAAAAACATTTGTCTAGTTCAAATATTGAGTCCTGAATTTATACCCACTTAGATGGCGTTCTAAAATCTGAAGATTTTTCGAAGTCTTTGAAAGACTTTCCAGGTATTTTTAATATATTTCATATATCTTTTCTCTTAGAAAAGTAAAGCAGAAATCAACAAGAACAATCTTGATAAGGCAGATGGTCACTCAGAAATAACATTTGTACTTTTATCACCATATGATGACCTTCGCTTAGTTGGAAGATACTGGTCTGTTCCCGGAGTGAATAAACCGAATGCTGTTGTTTTATTTGTGCATGGCTCAGGCGAACACAGTCAACGATACAGACATGTTGCTCAGTTTTTCACTAAACATCAAGTTACATGTGTCGCTTATGATTTACGTGGTCATGGGTTATCAGATGGTAAAAGGGGCTTTACGCCTAATATGGATGCTTTGTTAGATGATCTTGAATATGTCATAAAATATATTCGTAAAGAGCTTCATTTCATTATACCGTTAGTAATTTATGCACATGGCACTGGATGTATTAGTTGTCTTGCTCATATTCTTCAAAGACCGAAGTCCCGACTTGACTGTCAAGCTATGATATTGAGTACGCCTTCAATATGTCTTAAAGAGCGTCCCACAGCCTTCAAATTTTTAGCATCGCGGGTTGTTTCGAGTTTGGCTCCTAGTTTTCGTCTCTCTGTCAGTGGAAACTACACAAATGAGTATACTACTGATAAAGAAACAGTTGAAGCATATCGAAACGATCCACTTGTTCATGATGAATGGCCTGCACAAACTGTCTGGCTATTCCTGAAATTAGGTAAGTTATTAGAAACAACTGTGGTTCAATTTACAGTACCAGTGATGATTCAACACGGTGCCGATGACAATATTACACCAATCGAAACAATTCAAAAATGGGTACAAGAGCGAGTAAAGGGCGATGATGTAATGCTCAAAAAATGGCCAGGACACAATCATGAATTACATAATGACATAGACAGGGAAGATGTTTTCAATCATATATTGGAATGGATCGAAAAGCGTTTCAATATTGAAAAGAATTAAAAACAGGGCTTTTATTTACTCTTGTTCACATTTATTGTTCATTTATTGGTTTCTAGTCGTAAGAACTTGATATATGCTATGGAATCAAAAAATATGGCAGAGTATACTGCAAACAGGAAATGGATCAAGCGAGGGGATGGATGAGTTTGTTTGGATGTGAATGAAGAGAGAGTGTGAATCAGAGATGGAACCCGCCTAAAATTCTTCAGAGGGCTAATGATCTACTATCGATCAATCAGTCTACTAGTAACGTTTGGTGCATCGACCATTTACAGTCAGAACAGCCTAGTTTAGTACGGAGAACATGGTATACCACGTGACAAATTTGATTTGCTACATTGTATTATATACCTGATACAAAGACGGAACTACTTAGTTTGAATTTTACACAACTAAATCTGATAGTGGTCTGAAAGGTTAGACAGGTCTGTCTATCCGTAGACCGGCGGGTGTATGAGTGTGGGTCTTCTCTTTGGACCCACACCCACATCCGCATATGACTGAACAAATCGATTGCAAAAGTAAAAGGTAGATTCTCGGTCAGTCTTTATCAAAACTTTTGTTTTTTATACAACTTTTCAACGCAATCTGACAGAGATTCGACTATGGATGCACCGGTGATGGTTCACCGTCCACCGTTCACCGGTTCACCGGCTGGTACGATGAATCGGTAGATCGGTGCAGCGGTCACTTTTTTGTATTTCAGTGTCTCTCCTACATGGCACATCTCAGAAGCTGGAGCACTTAACTTTCTGATAACAAGTACTTCCTCTTCCTAATTTATTTTGGGAAATACTGATCATAAATTAGGATTTAAGCAGAGAATCAAGCTGATAAGGTTATAAAAAGTCATAATGGATACTAGGGTGTGTGGGGTGTGGGTGCAAGTGTGAGCGTGGGTGTGGGTATGAGTGTTCTATATGCGCGTGACCTATACTCATAGTCACGTCCACATGTACATCCACATCCTGTAGTACTTAAAGATTGTCTCATCAATTTAGTTGAGCCATAATTCAACGGATTAAAATTGGCGAACACATTATGACGAAACAAAGGTGTATTGGCAAATTTCACACTAGAGATTCCTCAATCGGCGAATATTGTAGAGAAATTCCCTACTGGTGAGTGTTATGTTGGCGGAGTTCCGAGTTATCGAACTTGCAAAGAGCCAGCGGAGTGTACGACAAGACTGATGATGAAAATTTTTTCCAAGATGTGCATGGCTACAAAGCTAATAGTAGAATCAATAGGATGACGAAAAGCTACGATGATGGTGACTAGATGAGCACTCATGGTTACCCTGAGCCTCGATGAATTTATAAATGCTAGAAACCATCTATTACCGTAGGTCTCCACTCTAGTAACTGGCATTATAAGACTACATGGTGATGCTTAAAAGTATATAATTTACAGCAATGTATCATTGTATATCAAACCTTTTTCTAAATCAGAATGATAGTAATGCCAGCTTTAGGACCGACATTTGTCACAGAAGCCTACGGTGATTATGGTTTTAAGGGCATCACTAACTACCCTAAGCATCAATGAGCTTGTCACATGCTTCAAACCGATCATCGCCGTAGGTTTCCACTTTCCAACCACAACTTTTAGCTTTCATCACGATGCACAAAACTATATGTTTGAGTACATGGCGAAACAGCATGTGAAAAGTTTTTCCGGAGACTGTCTACAAAGCTAGTTATACGACTGATAGATTCACGAAATCATACGGTGATGATGACTGGATTGGCATTAGAGGTGTAAGCCGTGCGGCTGAGCCGCCGCCGCCGCCGATTAAAGCGAGAAAATTTAAGCCGCCGCCGCCGCCGTGACGGTCGAAATTTTTAAAAATTTTAAGCCGCCGCCGCTGAGACACTTAAGTTCCAGCCGCCGCGCCGCCGAGAGCATTCGAAATTATTAAATTTTCGAGCCGCCGCCGCCGACACCGTTCATGAACATCGACAAATTTTTAATCATTTCCCCTCAGAATCGAACGCTGATGAAAAAATTGATTTTTCAAAAATGCAACTGAAAAGAATGTAAACATTTCGCCAGAAAAAACTAACCTAAATGTTATATTTTGTAGAACAGACTCTACTCTACAAGCTAAGAGTTGAAAGAAGATTCAGCAATGAGTTTTGAATATCAGAATCAAGGATAGGAACATGTGCGAAAAAATTTCGTCCAAACCGTTTTTTTCCGCTCCTTGAAAGATCTCTTCACTGCTCTCGAGCAAAAATAGGTACAGAAATTGAGCCCATACCTGGAAACCGCAGAAAATTTTGACCCAAATCACTAGTTCTTCGCTAGACTAGAATATTTTTAGAGGAGTCTAAATTGAACAGGCATGTTGTCCAAAAACTTTTCAACAGACCGTTATAGCATTCTTTCTAAACCTCAAGCCGCCGCCGTCCTTGCTAGGAAAAGAACAACTTTTAAGCCGCCGCCACCGTGCAGCCTCAGAAATTCAAATCTGCGCCGCCGAGCATTTAAAAAAAGTTTTAAAAAGTGGCGCCGCCGCCGTCCAACTCATCGGCTTACACCTCTAATTGGCATTACTATTGGCTCTGGCCTTCAATGAGTCTGTGATATATTAGAAGCTGTCTGACACTGTAGGTCTCCACCCTCCGAACCCACATGATTAGAATTAATGGTAATGCTTAAAAAGATGTAATTTAGATCTGCTCACTATAGTAAATGAAAACTTTGTTCACCGATGAATGTGATAAGCATGCCCTTAATCGGATTGATAGGGTCAAGAAAACCTCCAATGATGGACATTAAAAGCTTACTGCTGGTTATTCTAAGCTTTGATGAGTCAGTAGAATGTTATAAACTGGCGATTAGCGTAGGTTCCCGACACTCTAACAGCTGCTGTTGATCTTAAAGGTGCTTATTGATGTGGTATACCTAAGTTTTTTGTATAAGCATCTTTCATACTCAGTCAGTCTTCACTGACAAATATCAGCTATATGAGCATCCTGATGTTGCCTGACGTATGTCTACGCTTCGCATCGTATTGAAGAAGTGGTTAGTATATAGAAACATTTTATTAAATTTGTGAAGTATGATCATGAATCGCAGAAAGTAGAGGGATACCAAATATATGTGCACTTCTCGATTATAGGATAGTCAACTTCATTGTTAGTAAGACTCAGTTGAACTTGATTAGCTTTATCTATAGTACTTGACCAGTGCTTACGGTGCTCGTATACCGGTGGAACGGTGCATCGCTACTGCGGTGACTGGTCCACCGGTGCCACCGGTTGCTACGGTGCACCGATGAACCAGTGACACCGGTCCTACAGTAAACTGGCGGACCGGTGAATGGTGAACCGTAGACCGATCACACTGGTGACCACCGTCACCGTTGCATCCCTAGATTTGACCTTTTATTTTCACTATCGATCCATCAGGTTTAATGTACATAAAGACTAAGTCAACGTAGGCAACTCTGGATAAAAACTGGCAGAGTCTCGAGAATTTATCTTATAGGTAACTTTCCATGTCTGTTATGAAGTCTACAGCCTTGGGACATTTCTCGCTCAGGGTGTGGATGTGAAGTGTGGGCGTGGGTGTGCATGTGGGGTGTGGGTGTGAATGTGGGGTGTGGGTGTGAATGTGGGGTGTGGTTGTGGGTGTGAGTGTGGGTTGTGGATGTGAGTGTGAATGTGGGGTGTGGTTGTGGGTGTGAATGTGGGATGTGGGTGTGGGTGTGGATGTGAGTCTGGGGTGTGGGAGCAGGACGGGAGTGTGGATGTGGGGTGCGGGTGTGAGTGTCAGGTGTGGGTGAGTGTGGGTGTGTGAGTCGTGACACTCGAGTAACTATAGGGTGTGGATGTGGGTGTGGGTGTTGGTGCCTATGGATATGTGTGTTGTTGTTCTTCTATTCATGACCCGCACCTCCAAAATCACACCCTTGGTTTTTTATAAGAAAATGATTGAACTGTGGCTGATTGAGGAGTAATGTATTTTGTTTTCATTCAGATTATATGTTTAGTGTGAGGCGTTACATTAAAAAAAGAAGAAACATACTGAATAACTTTTTGAAGTATTTTCTTGTGACATTTTTGTTTTTTCACACGCAAAAAAACCAATGAACAAACCCAAGTGAACAGATATAACATCAATTAATTTAGTTTTGTGTTGATACTAATGAGAAAAGATTGTGTTATCCTGTGCGCACAGTACATTTATACCAAGTATTTGATTCTACAAAAGAAATCTTAATAATAATAACAAAGACTTTTCTATAATATCATGCAGAATTAAATAATGTTTCTAGACTTATTTTTCTATGAGGAATCCGAAAATCACATTGGTGAGAACGAAAGGTGGAATAGGAAAGAAACAAACGTTGTTTGTGCAAAAGCAATTTTTTTGCTGGTTTTTAGGCCCTCTCAGTATTTTGCGTTTATCTCCATGAAAGCTTTCTCAAACTGAAAAAATAAGTAGATATTCGTGATCAGCGTGAAAAAGCAAATCTAATGATGTCTATTTAAGCGAAAAATGAGAGGTACTGTAATTTTGAATTACCGGCACCTTACTTAATATCTATTTAATTTCACCAACAAACTCTGCTGAATATGAAAGAGGTGTACGTGAAATATTGAATATCCTAATTTTTCTTTTATATTGTCTTTTTTTGTATTTTTAGTTGTCTGCTATTAATCGTATTCAATCAATAGGAAGATCACGTTTGAAGATTGATACATTAGATATGTTAATGACTGTGCGTATGTTGTTAAAAGAAGATATAAGAAGGTAAACTAAAAAAGTTGTAATAGTTGTTAATCAATTTATTTTTTTAGCTCGAGATGTCAACAAGTCGTTACTAAAGCTTTTAAATCTTGGAACGACAGAGATCAAAATCGTCGCCTTCATCAGATACAACTATTGCGTGATGTACCAGATGATTATACACCAACTAAACAAGTTCGATCAGTTTCTAAGCGAAATCGAGATTGTCTTCAATCAGAATCAATTGAGAACAAGAAGAAAAAAAAATCTAAATATATAAAATGTAAGTTAAAGTATTCTCTACACTTAGTTACCTTTTTTATTGCTTTTGTAGGTGCTAATGGTTGTAAACGAGAAGTTTCTGGAACTGATCCACGTCAAAATGAAGCGATTCAATGTTGCCATCAGAACGAACAATTCCAATGGATTGATTTTGACGAAAATTGCTCAAGATGGTTGTGCAATTACTGCAGAATCAAACTTAGTATAAAAGTTGATTCAATATGGTTTTGTGATGATCATATCGATATACATTGTGAAGAAAATGAAAATGATGATGAAAATTTTGATTGATTTATGCTGGTCTTTTTTCTCATCAAATGGTTAAAGGTTTTGTTGTTTTTGAATATTTTTCGTGAAGTAATATATTAATGTGTACTTTTTTCTCAAACATGTTTTTGCTCGTGTCAGATTAAAAAATAATTGTGTGCATAAATGTTGTTTATTTAGTACTATATATTTGTTATACATTTTTGATAAGGTAAAAATATGAATACTTGTTTATTTTCTAGATTATATAATTTATTTCAATCTGTACACTTTGTACACTCTGCTTTCGAAAATAAGGTGTACATGTGCGTTTTGCTTGAAAAAACAAAGTGTACAAAAACATTCTGCTTTTGAATTCCATTCGGATCCTTGCTAGTGGGTACGGGTTGTACCCTACATTCTCTGATTCTTTCGAAATACATGATAGTAACTTTTAAAAAGTATCTAACATGGGTCCATAGAATCAACTCAATAAAAATGTTTCATTTGAATTTTAGATATTATAAATTGCATATAGCGGAATAATTCTTGATTGAAATCAATTGTAACATATTATTTTTCAGTTGGTTTCACATACGATGCTTGAAAAATGAAGCAATTTGACGAAAAAGCTCATATGAAACGAAATCAAAAGTACGTTTACTAACATTTTTTTAAAATCGTCTTTCACTATTCTGTCGTTGATTCAATTTTATATACTAGAACCGAGGCATACATACAATGAGCTATATTCTCTATTCGGTTATTGATCAAGAGCCTACGTAAACAAAGTGATCATAGACTTGTCTTTATTTTTGATTTTTTCATATTTGCTTTATATCTCATGTCTTTTAAGTACATTCACGAATATAAGCAGGGCAATATCAAACAATTCTTCAAGAGCAAATTCGGCTTTTCATTAGATTAACTTCAATATTTCATATAATATATTTATTGAATGATTTAAATATCAGTTTTAGGTTAAAAAAGTAGATAACATCACAAATCTATGATATATTTTAATGATTATTAATAATAAATCATTATCTTTCATCTTTTTCTACATTTAGTTTTTCCTTGTTTTTTGATTTTCATTGAGAAGGCCTGCTTGAACCTTTTTCTCTTCACTGAGTACACTTTGAGATTATTGAATTGACAATCGATAGGCTAGAACATGAAATTTATTCTATAGTTGATATTTATTTTATTATCGATTAATCAGCTATCCATAGTCAATACGGTTCGACTGAATTTTATTACAATTAGTTTAGCAATTTGAAAAACATTAATATAGGACAATTCCTGTGTTAAGAGATCGATATAGAATACTGATGGATGTTTGAAGTGTTTTATATTTTATATGAAGATATAAGTATGTCTATGGAGAATGTGTATCAATTCATGCTTGAATATCATTTACCTAATAAATATATTAATAAATTAAATTAAATATCTTTCTATTTAATTAATGATCAGTATTCAATGATTATTATAATATTTATCGTCCCATTTGTTTTTAGGAAGTCAATTTTTTGCTGGAGATGTTGATCGATATGATATATATGCATTTTTGATTCTCTTTTTTATTATATACTAAAATAAATCTATGCCACTAATCAACTTGTGGAATTTCATCATAATGTTAGTAGTAACTTTGATAATTTTCTCAGTTAATCATATATGGAACATGAAAAAGATTTACAATTTAAATCGAACACAATATTAGATCACTCAATAAACAAAGTACTATTGAATAAATCATTACTACATTAATAAAGAGTTTCTGATTAAATTATTTGTCTCATTGTTTATTTCTAAATAAAATTTGTTCCTTAAATTTCTTCAAATAACAATAATAAGTTAAATACTGAAGAAAATCCATGAAAAAACTTCATTAAAGAAATTCGACTTGAGCTCTCATATAATGTACATTTTAGACTCAATTGAAGGCGTTCGACAAGTATCCGTTAGACCTCCATCGTACCTCGAATAGACGAAATCCACTTTTCTAGTCATAAATATAACTTAAATATTCATTTAATTTTACTTATAGAACAGATTGTCTTTGTATTGGTTTATTATTGATGATGTTTACTATGATAATTTACACATTGATACAAGGACGATCTATTTGTTTTTCTGTTAAAGAAACAAAAAATCCAAATTCCACATAGATATATGAAATTAATGAATTCTTTTGTTATTGAATAACTAGCCTGGAATTTTATTTTGTATAGGCAATGATTTGCTTTTTATACTTCTAGATATCTTTTCATTCAAAAAAATAGAACTTGAAAATTCAAGATGATTGAATAGAAATGATAATAGATAAATGTAAACAAGACAAAAATAAGGTAAAGAAAGAGCTATATTATTATTCAAATCATTTGTAAATATGATTTGTAGAAATCAAATTACTTTTAAAATTATAGATTGACATAGTATGATAATGGCTGAAAAATTTCAAAACTTTCATTCAGATTGTTTAATTATTCAATAAAAACAATCTATGTTTTGCACATTATAATCATACATATACCGGATGATTTTGTTAATAAAACATTCAAGAGAGATTTAGAAACTAACAATAAACACATTAACATATACAAAACAAGTGATTTATTCAATATTTTATTATTATGTTAACAAATGAAAATATTGACCTAATTATTATCAGTAGTGTCAAACTTGAAAGTTGAATTCAACTATTCAACTATTACTTCAACTATTCAAGTATTCAACTATTCAAGTATTCAACTATTCAAGTATTCAACTACTCAAGGAAATCCACCGCAAAGGGGTCGATTTAAGTGTTTGAATCGACCATCATTCCGATGGGTGAGTTGGTTTTTCGACTGTGTATGAGCGTTTCGCACGGGTATACGGGTTTTCTGGTTTTCTCATTTTTTCTAATTCTCTTGCTAAGAAAATTCGTTCTGGTATAAAATGCATCTGAAGTGGTAAAGTATGGACGGATTTTCATTGGTCGGCTTGCAGATCCATTTTGATTGGTGCTTGTGCTGGATTCACATCGATCTCAAAAGGAATGCGGAATTTTATCACCAGCAAATATCCTTAACACTTTGAATCTACTATTTTCTTCTGACCTGTTCCGATTTTGCTGTAAAATATGGTAAGTATGCTCTTCGCCGAAAACAAGATCATCGAAAACTCACATCGCCGACTCGACGTGGAAATTTACGGCGAATTTCCACGTCGAGTCGGCGATGTGAGTTTTCGACGATCTTGTTTTCGGCGAAGAGCATTACATTCGTAAAATATATCGTACTCAGGAAAAACTCATTAACAACGACAACAAATTACTTACCACAATTGCATTCTACTAACAATGATTCACGAATCATTCTAACATATCCTCATTTCTCACACTGTAAGTCGAATTTGGTGAAACTCCTTTCGCCGCACCCTCACCTTGGGATGTTCGTGTATGCGTGTAGCTGGTGAGAGTCAAAC